TCAGGGGTCGAAAAAAACCGTGCCCCAAGCGCTGTTGTGTGAATACGGAAACAAAACGAAACAAGCATACCTGCTGCTACACATAGATGTTGAAATGTTTTTAAACAGAGGTGCAAATACGAATACTGTGGAATACATACAGCCAACAGGTGGTTTCTGACATGCACATACATTAATACCGCACATGTATACGCCTAAGTGTCACACTTACACATACTTGTGTACAGATGTGTGCATCTATATAATGGGCATAGAAGTACACAAAGGTATGCGTGCAGAACTGCACATATACTTACGTACATGTGTACAGGTGTTCATATGTTCACTTATATAGCTTATGCATTGCACTACATTCCTTTCTTCTGCACTGCATCACGGTACATACGCACATACATGTGTAGATATGTATGTGCATCCGTGCATGTGTGCAGGTACCGGTTTGCACGCGTATGCACTTGATGATTTTTGCCTAGTGCAGGAATTTGATTTTTGGTTTCCATTCTCGGGCTGCTGCCCAGGAATGCCGCAATCAGTGCTTGTGGGCGAGGGGAGCAATGGCAGCAGGCGAGCATGCTCCACCTAGCTGTATACCCGGTTCAGCCCGAAACTTGAGCTTGAAGCACGGATTTCCTGAAGTTCTGGGCCACAGCCCCAAATGCCCTTCAGCTCCTACACCAGCCTTACGCCTCAGTGAACAAATCCACGCACGCCACCAAACTTCCAGGCCCTTCTTCTTTTTTCCGGTGCGGAGCATCATCAACTGGCTGTAGACGTGGTGACGTGCGGCGCAGCGGTCAGTGCGTGTGAGAAGGCATGGACAGTTTGGCCGCGATGTTACTGTTGTATTCTGGGTGGTGGCGGATGTCTGGGTTGGTTCTGCTTCGAGACCCGACTTTCGGTTTCAGGATGCCTTCAGGGCAGGATGCACTGTGCACGCATTGTTCATTACTTTTTTTGTGCCCTGCAACAAAGACCCCCCCCCCAACCCTCCCGTCAAGGCTAGCCAGTGGGTTCAAGCTCTGCAGCTTCTTTCGTCTGCCCATGGGGGTCGGCTGCGTCTCAACATCGTGGCGCTGAGTGCAGGAATTAGTGCCTGCGAGCCTCCGTCTTCGCATTATGGTCTAGTTTCTTTCTCTCTTTGTTCTGCACATGTGGTCAACGGTGTTTGGTCATGCCAAGAGAAGCAGGGATGCAATGTGCATTTGCGAATTCAACCGATGTTGCTGCTCATATTCGTGGAATGCCAAGCTTCTCCAGCTGAGCATGGGATACGGCTTGTGCGACAGCATTTGCTGCTGCTGCTGCTGCTGCAGC